TGAGGTGAGCTGGGGTCTCGGGAGAGGCGGGGAATTCTTGTTGCAGCGGAGACGACGACAGCAATGAAGCCTCCCGGGACTCCTTCACCGTAGTGTCTCCAGAGCCTGGGCGGGAAGGGCTGGGCCTTGTCGTCATTGGGCCTCGGCGATTAGCAAGCCGGGCCTGGGGCCGACCGGCCCCGCGGAGGAGGGAGGAGCCACGGGACCTGTCCTCAACGCCCCGCCCCCGGGACCGGCGCGCGAGGCCCCGCCCCCGGGACCGGCCCGGGAGCTCCCTGCGTCCGCGGCCCCGCCCCTGGGCCGACGCATCGGGCCGCTCCAGGGTTAGGCTTCGCGTCCTGCCGGCCCGGGGCAGCGCCTGCTCCCTGGTACTGGCTCGTAAGGAAGCGTGGCTCACGGCCCCGGGAAGACCCGGACCCTTTCTGGTCCGGCCAGATGGGAGCTTCCGGCCGGAAGGGGCTCCTCGGCGGGGCGGGGAGGGGACGGAGAGGAAGTCCCGCCTCTTACCACTCCACCGAAGCCTCGGACGCGGCTGCGCACCTAACCCAGTCCTGAGGGGTAGGCAGGCGAGGGTCTCCGTATGCTGAGACCCCGGGCTCCCACGGTGCCAGGTGACAGACGGCGGTGAACTTGGGCTGGGACGTGGCGCCTTGAGGGAAGTGGGGGCGAAGGTCGGCTTGGGAGCTCGAGATGGGGGTGGGGGGCTCAGGAGGACTCAGCCTCGCGCTGGAGGGGTGGGAGTCCGGGGCGCCGAGCAGCACCCTCCCTAGACAGTACCGAGCCTGCAGACCCCGGTACTCCACACACACTCACACCTACCTGTCGGATCACCAAACCTGTGTGCTGCTGTCGCCACTGGCCGCCCTTCTCCTCACAGAAAAGCCCCATCTCTTGGCCTCTGGAGCCCAATTCTAGACATACCTCTAGGTGCGCGCCGCCAACACCCCTTCCTCCCTGCCTCAGTGCTGATCTCGAATCCCTGTTTCCGTCTAGATCGGATTTGGGAGCTGCCATGATTGAAGTGGTGGCGGAGCTGAGCCGGGGTCCGGTGTTTCTGGCAGGGGAGGCGCTGGAGTGTGTGGTTACTGTCACCAACCCTCTCCCCCCTACGGCCACTTCTGCTTCCAGGTGGGGATAATGGTACTGAAGATAGTGATCCCTCTGGGGAGGAAGCCTAGTATTTCTGATGCTAAGCCGGAGCTCTGGCTGTCCCCGGAGCTGCACATAACCACTTAATACCCTTCTTGTGATGACCTCATTAAAGAAAGGGGCTTTGTAACAGAAAATGTGGAAAACGTAACTCTCCTCTCTTTTTCCTTGTTCCCTTTTGTACCCACGGTATATTTTTCTTTGCTTAATGTTTCTCTTTGATTTTTCTGATCGCTTGTATAGCCACCTAACTTGGTTGAGCTTATCAATGTGGGAGATTAAGAAACCATTTGTGAGGTCAGGAAGTACTTTCTGATGTCATCTTATCCTCTTCTACAGTGAAGCTCTGGCCTGGGCCAGTGCCCAGATCCACTGCCAGTTCCATGCCAGTGAGAGCCGTGTAGCATTGCCTCCCCCTGACTCTAGTCAGCCAGATGTCCAACCCGACAGCCAGACTGTCTTTCTGCCACACAGAGGTTTGCAAGGGGGCATTCATCTTGTCGGGGAGGGGGAAAGTGGAGCCATTATCACCTTAAAGAACTTAAAGTTAAGTTCTTGTATGTCATAGTCTCTGTCACATCTGGGATGTGGGGATAATAACTTCTTTGGGGTTATAAGCCTGTGTTTCCATATCACAAAGCAACAGTTGTCAGACTGTCACTGTCTCTACTTTGCTAGCCTGGGCAGAGCTGGACAACAGTCATTAAATTGCAGTCTTTCCATCTTTTATAGGTGAGAGGGGTCAATGTATCCTTTCTACTCCACCAAAAATTCTATTTTGTGACCTGAGGCTAGACCCTGGAGAGTCCAAATCATGTGAGTGACTATTCCTATCCCTGAATTGCCTTCGAAGTCTCCTGGAGGGAGGACTTCTCTGGCTGCATCTAGCTGCCCTGATTCCCAACCAGATTCCTACAGTGAAGTGCTGCCCATAGAGGGACCACCCTCCTTTCGGGGTCAGTCAGTCAAGTATGTCTACAAATTGACCATTGGCTGCCAGCGTGTCAACTCACCCATCACTTTACTAAGGGTCCCTTTAAGGGTTCTCGTACTGACTGGTAAGTAGGGTTCCTGCAGGTAAGGATTGGAGGAGGGGATGCGGGGAAGCTATCAGTCTTAAGGGAGGTGCAAAGGAGTGGAGATAGGAAGGGGTTTGGGAGACTGGGTTGAGATGTAAACCTCAGTTGTGGCTGGCCTTACCTTCAGCCTTCTCAGGTTAGAGTCTAGCCTCTGTTTTCATCTCTGTTTCCTCCCAGCATTATCTTTCCACTCATTCTGTCTCTAGGCCTTCAAGATGTCCAGTTTCCCCAAGATGAGGCTGTAGCTCCATCCAGCCCATTCTTGGAAGAGGATGAAGGTGGAAAGAAGGATTCATGGCTGGCTGAGCTGGCTGGGGAGCGCCTCATGGCTGCCACATCCTGCCGCAGCCTCCGTGAGAATTTTTTTTAACAGAATTTCCCTACCCCATCCCTCCTCTCAAAATACTCCTGTCTCAGAGATCAGGTTTTCTAACTACCATAAACTCTCATAGACCCACTGATATCTCCCCACTCCTAATTTTAAAGAAAAGCCTCATCTTTTGAGTTCTGAGATCCAATCTTAGACATTTCCTTGTATAAACTCTCGGTTTACAAAAATACCTCATTCTCCCCAGATCTCTACAATATCAGTGATGGCCGAGGGAAAGTTGGGACATTTGGCATCTTCAAATCTGTGTACAGACTCGGCGAGGATGTTGTGGGGACCTTAAACTTGGGGGAAGGAACTGTAGCTTGTTTGCAGGTGAGAAGGGAGCAGACCTTCTGGGGTACTGGGCCTGAAAAACTCCAGTAGAAGGAGGAGTGGGTGGTATATAGAAGGGGCAAGTTGGCATACAGTCTTCATTTCCATATGCCTGCTGGCATGTACTTTTCTTCTTGTTCTCAGTTTTCAGTAAGCTTACAGACTGAAGAACGTGTACAGCCTGAATATCAGCGGCGCCGTGGGACAGGGGGTGCTCCCTCTGTGTCCCATGTAACTCATGCCCGGCACCAGGAATCCTGCCTACATACAACCAGAACCAGCTTTTCTCTCCCTATCCCTCTGAGCTCTACCCCAGGCTTCTGTACTGCCATTGGTGAGATCCTCATTGTAATGGGAGACAAGGGGAAGGGTTGGGGGGTGGTGAATGTTGCACTCAGGTATAGTGTAATGAGTCCTTACTCCTAATATACTTCCAGACATACCTACACCCAGCCTCTCACCTTTCATCTTTCTCAGACCTTCAGCCTCTACTCTTTCTAAACTCCAACAGCGTTGTAGAACTCTGTCCCCTCCCCTATCTGCTGGGACCCTGTGATGTACTGATATTTAAGCACATTGATGCACTGATGTGTTCTTTCTAAGCATATTTACTTAAGAGCTGCTTCATCTTGAGTACTGAGGTTTGAACTCAAGGCCTTGCACTTGCTGGTGCAGGTGCCCTACCACTTGAACCATGCCTCCAGCCCAAGCTACACAGTCTTTACTGTCCTATTCTTGGGCTATTAGGCAGTTAACAAAACTATGCTGAATGTCTTATGTCTCATCAACACAACAGGTTGTTTTGTTTTTTTTTTCTGTATGTGTGTGTATGTATTGGTTATGAGGGCTTAAACTCAGGGCCTGAGCAGTGTCCCTTAGCTTTTTCTGCTCTGCTACTTGAGCTCCACTTCCAGCTTTTTGGTGGTTTATTAGAGTTAAGAGGCCCACAGACTTGATTTGACACCTTGATCCTTAGATTTCAGCCTTGTGAGTAGCTAGGATAGGTATGAACCACTAGCATCTGACTCAGATTCCTTCTCTCCTTCCTTCCTAAGATTATAGGTGAGAGGTACTGGTACCCAACAGATTTCTTTCTTTCTCTAAGTGTTTTTAATTACAGCTCCATAATAGCTCCCTTACCTGTGACTTTTCTTCCCAAATACAAGAGTTAGTTTTATTCCATTTTGCCTTTTTTTCTTTTTTCTTTTCTTTTCCTTCCTTCCTTTCTTTTTCTTTTTTTCCTTCTTCATCTTCTCCTTCTTTTTTTTTTTTTTACTAAATTTTGGACTCAGGGCTTCACACTGGCTAGGTAAGCCCTCTGACAGTGGAGATACATCTTCAGACCGTTTGCTTGAGGTTATTTTTTAAATAGGGTCTTGCTTTTTGCCTAAGCTGTTCTGGAACCATGATCCTCCTACATATGCCTTCCACATAGCTGGGATTTCCGGTATTTACTACTATGCCTGGCTTATTTTTTTAGATAGGGGCATCTCACTAACTTTGTCCAGGCTGGCCCCAAACTATGATCTTCCTGATGGCCATATCTAGCTCCTGGTTGTGAGCCACTATACCTGGCAACTCCTAATACCACTGCCTCTTATCTTTTGCTTTCACAGTGTCCCTGAAGTGGCGATTACATTTTGAATTTGTAACATCTCGAGAACCAGGATTGGTACTCCTGCCCCCTATGGAACAGCCTGAACCTGCTACCTGGACAGGTCCTGAGCAAGTGCCTGTAGACACCTTCAGCTGGGATCTCCCCATTAAGGTGCTGCCTACAAGCCCCACTCTGGCCTCATATGCTGCCCCAGGTCCTAGCACCAGCACCATAACCATCTGAAACCAGTCCACCTGCCCACTGTGACACTAGCATCTTCAGAATACTCAGAACTTAGCACCTGGACTCTACTGGGGCCCACTTTTCCCACTGGGGCCCATTGGGACAGAGAATGACAGGCTTTTCAGGCTGTAGTATTAATTTATTTATTCAGAATAAATTGGCAGCTGCTAGTGGTTTCCCTGGAAGTGGCAGCAGCAGTGAGCAGTCAGCAAATGGTGATCAGTTGAGTTTAGCTAGAGTGGGAAGCAGGAGCTCCAGGAACAGGGGTGTTGGCTGAGCCCCACTCTAGGTCGGGCCCTCCCCCCTTGCAGGGCAGCTGAGGGTCAGATTTCTGCACCAGGGAGAAGTGGCAGGTTCCTGCCTCCTGACGCACCTCACACCCAGCAGGAAAGTCAATGGGATGCTGAGACCTGGGGAGAGCCAGGGATGGGGGAGAACACAGTGAAGAGGCCCCCTTGGGGACCCATGTTCCCTCTCTCAGCCACCCTCCCTCCTCCTCTGTGTCTCTGGCCCCCTCCCCCAACTAAGCTCTTACCTATCAGATAAGGACTTCTGCGTTTTTACCCTCCAGATCTACCTTGAATTCCCACACTCTGTGTCCTGATCTACTTTGAATTCCTCTCGCTCTCCTTGGCACTTGGGGTCCAGCCAGTCTCATGCTGCTCTTCTCTTAATTTTTATCTCACAGCAATCTAGTCACTCCCTGGCCATCCTTCCATAACTCACATCACAGTCATTCCCTCTGGCCATGCTTGGTCACTCACGTGTCACAGCAGCCCACACCAACAGGATGCAGACAGGTGCAATGGAAGCAGTCCTTGCGGAGCCAGGACTCACCCAGGGTGAAGTATTTCCCCTCATAGTGACAGGGGGCTAGGGAAGAATGAGAAACATTGGTGGGTATGGGAGTGGTGGCAACAGTCTCTTCCTCCAGTCAGGGGAGGGAGTTAGTACATATTATCTCCTTAAGTTGTCCTTCTTTCCTGTTTCACAGCTCAAGCTATTCTGAAACAGATTCATCTCTAAGCCCTTGTCCCTTTCTCTGCCCGACCCCACCCCAATCCTTTCGTAATACCTTGCCCCACTTTACCTTGAGCTTGGAAGAAACACTTGCTGTGGACTCCTGGATGCTGAAGAAGCAGAGACACCACCAAGCAGATGATCCCCCAGCCTCCCAGGATCCCCTTGGCCTGTCCAGCCCAGAGCATCCTTAGGGCCATTGTCTTCAGCCCTGTCAGATTCTTCTTGGCTTCTTCCGCTGCTGCTGCTGCTGCTCTGTTCTTGTATTCTGGACTTGTCCCCTTGGCTTTTCTTTGCTCCTTGAGTTGTTAGTGTCTCTTTCTTTCTCTCCCCCTCTGGCCTTCTGTCTCACACCATCTCTATGCCCCTCTGCTCTCATAGGCTGGGGATGTTTATAAAGTGAGGACCCTGGCCCCCTGCTGAGTAGAGCTGGAAGCCCTACAACTCTGTTTCCTGAGGTGAGGGCATGAAAACAAGAGGTCCAGCTTTTTAACAAGCTGTGAGAGCTGATTCATGCCCAGCACTGCAAGAGCCGGGAGGGGAGGGAGGTGCCTGTGGAAGGGGTGCTGGACTGGGCACTTCCCCAGCAAGGAGGTGGGAGGGGTGAGGCCCCAGGTGGTCCCCAGAGCTTCTCCTTGACCTGGAAAGAGGAAGCATTCCACCAAACCCTCCTTCCCCTGCCCCCCCCCCCCCCCCCCCAGTCCCTCACTACCACCACTAGTGTTGTGTGCTGGGATCCCTGCCTGGACCGGAGGGAGGCATTTCCTGGGGATGGCTAATCCTGTGCCCTAGCCAAACCAAGGAGTTGCAACAGGGTGCAGCGGCCAGAAGCTCCAGGAGAGCGAGGAGCAGGCATCTGTAGTAGAGTGCAAAGTTTCCCTGATACATCTGAGATGCATCAGATACTTCAGAGATGGGGGTGGGAGGGTCATTTTTTTTTTTCTCAGATATCCCAGAGATGAACTATCCATTGTCTCATCCCTTGGGTTGTCTCTGCCCCTCCCCCCCACCTTCAAAAAGGAGCATCTCTAAGTGTCCTCAGTTTCACAGGGGTACCTTCTTTCCTCATGATGGAATGAAGAAAGAATTTGTCCTTTGATATCCTCCTTTGAGGTACCTACAGGTTCTGGAAGCCATGATGGCTCTACCCTATAGTGACAAACTACTTGAATTCAGATCTTGACTCAACTTACTAGCTATGTGACCTCAGGCAAGTTACTTCTCTTGTCCTGTTTCCTCATCTATAAATCCAGAATAGTAATGTTTACTCACAAACTTGTTAATGAGGCAGGGGAATGCCCTCTGTACCATCTTTGTTTGGCATATGATCCTCAGAAAATATTAGCCACTGTAGTTGGTACTAAGGTTCACTTGAATAAATGACCTTTTCTCTGAATGACATTGAGCAAGCAGCAGCTCTGTGCACAGCTGGGGGCCTCTGCTGGGACTGCTCTCTCCCCACCAACTTCTGACCCTTTGTTCTCATGTTCCAGGGCATCCCTACCAGTTTTGGTTTGGGTTCTTGTATTCTTGAATTCTGAATGTCTGGTTTGAGAAATGATGTTGCTGATAAACCTGCTTTGCCCATGTCAGTACCCTCTCTAAGGTGGGAAGAGGTAGCATTTTCTTATCCACTTAACTTTAGGATACTGTCTGCTTTTTATTTTTATTTTCTTTCTTTCTTTCTTTCTTTTTTTTTTCAGTTGTGGGGCCTGAACTCTGGGCCTGGGTGCTGTCTTTGAGCTCTTCAGCTCAAGGCTAGTGCTCTAACACTTGAGCCACAGGGCCACTTCTGGCTTTTTCTGCTTATGTGGTGCTAAGGAATCAAACCTAGGGCCTCATGCATGCAAGGCAAGCACTCTACCACTGAGTCACCTTCCCAGCCCACTGTCTGCTTTTTCTTAAGATTTTTTTTTTTTTTTTTTTTGGCAGTCCTGGGGCATGATTTCAAAACCTGAATGCTGTCCCTCAGCTGTTTAGCACAAGGCTAGTGCTCTACTACTTGACTTCATAGCTCCACTTCCAGCTTTTTAGTGGTTAATTGTAGACAAGAGTCTCATGACTTTCCTGCTTGGCTGGTTTCAAACAGTGATCTTCAGATCTCAGCCTCCTGAGTAGGATTACATGCATGAGCCAGCAGTACCTGTCTGTTACTTTAAGATTTTTAAAAACATTTTTAAAAGCTTTAATTGTGCAAAGGGGATTTCACTGGGACATTGCCTTACAAACACACAATGTACCTTGATCACTGCTCTCCTTTACTACCCTCCTCTTAAAACAGGCTTCATTGTTCTATTTTTATGCACATAAATAAACTACTTCAATCATGTTCACCCTCATTCACTCTCTGCATTAGCTGTCTCTAGGATTCTGATCCATTTTTTTCTGATTCCCATTTACCTGAACTCTCAAGTGCTCTCTTTTGAATACTCTGCTCATTATCTCTGTTACTAAGGCTCCAGTCAAACTGGATTTCTTTCACTTGACCATGTTTCAAAGGCCTCGCTATTGGTGCAGCCATTTCCCTCCTACTCACAGAACATTCTATTTTTCAACCTAAGTCTCCAGTCCCATTTTACTCCAAGACTCCTAGTGCATCAGATACAACTGTTTCTAGTAGAATTTTTCAAAGGCCCATTCTGTCACCTTAATTCAGAAACAACTGCCAGTGCACCTCAACTCCTGGCTGCCCTCTTCCTAGATACCTTTTCCAGTGGCTAGGTGGATAGCTCTATGGTTAGCTTGAAGCCCTGAATTCCAACCACAGCATAAGAAAAACAAAAACAGAAAGGTACTCTGAGGAGTACCAAGAAACAAAGGAAAAGCCACAGCAGGTTGGCTGATGTGTTGACTGGAGGGTCATTAGGCTTGGCTAGCATAAGATCCCAAAAGTTCCTTCAGTAGTCAGTGGCACTATTGTTCCTGCAATCTGTTGGGCAATTTGGGAAGTAGCCAAGTGAGGGCAGTGGTGTAGGTGGATGTGTGAGAGGCAATGGGAACATAAGTCATGGTTAGCCTCCTGGACAAGAAATGGGGGTAGTCATTTAAGAGAAAGACTGAGGGGCTTCTGAAAAGGTTTGGTTGAACAGGAATCCTCCCAGAAGGTGGGACGGGGAGGCTGCTGCGCGAAGGTGCTGGTTGGGGTGTCATGTAGGTTTGTCAGTGGATAGCCAGTCCTGGGGATGCAGTCATTTGCGCGCGCGCGTAGCTGGGAGCGCGGTGCTGGCGCTCGTGCTGCCAGCGCAAGGACAGGAAAACATCCGCCGGAGGCCGGGCTGGGCGGCGCTCCAGCGGTGCGGGCAGGGGCAGGTGCGCGGGGTGAGGAAGTGAGCGCATTCCGGGCCCCCAGCCGGCTGCCCTCCGGTGAATCACAGCCGACCCCCACCTGCCTGCCCTCCGTGGCCAGGAAGGAGAATGCAGCCTTTGGGGGGCTGCCGCCCAGGGAGATTTGGGGTGGGAGCTGAGGTGAGTTGTGGAAGAAGGGGGTCTCTGAGGGGGCTGCTACCCAGACAGCAAGCACTTCAGTGCGGAACACCGAGTCAGCTGAATACAGTAGGTGACTGGAGGACAGGTGGAAGGGATCGTCGTGGAGAGAGGGAAAAGGCCCGAAAAGCTTGCATAGAGATGAAAGGGGGCTAGGGGAAACAGCAAGATGGGAAGTGAGGCCCACAAAGGGAGAGGAGCAAAGCTCATCGGACCAGGAAGGAAACATGCCAAGGTGAGCACACAGGCGGCTCCTGCAAACAGATCCCCAGCAGGAGGGTAAGGTGCCAGAGGTGAGGCCTGCCCAGAGGCAGTGAGACAGCAAAGAAGCTTTCCTGGAGTAGTATCAAGAGGTGATTGAGCCCTACCTAGTTTGTGACTAGGTCAACAAAGGCTTTCAATGCCAGGTTGGGAAAGCAATGCCATGGCCTCACTGATACAGTAGGGCCATCTCTGTTAGGAGGAACAGTGAATGTAAGTCAGAACTTGTAGCAGGGCTCCATGCCTATTAGCCTTAAGTTATTCCAGAAGCTGAAATCTGAGGATCGCTGCTACTGGAAGTCTGCAGGAGCAGGAAAGTCTGTGAGACGCTTATCTCTAATAAGTTGCCAAAAAAGCTAGAAGTGGAGATGGGGCTCAAGTGGTAGAACGTCCAGTCAGTATTTGAGGAATAAACATTGAAAAACAATGATTTGCTTGCTCATTTTATCTATAGTCATTTAAAATTGCATGCTATATTGACCACAATTTTAGGTAATTTTGTTGAGTTTTTTTTTTTTTTTAAAGAAAAACGAACAAGGGCTGGGAAGGTGGCTCAGTGGTAGAGCACTTGCCTTGCATGCATGAGGCCCTGGGTTCGATTCCTCAGCACCACATAAGCAGAAAAAAAAAGCCGGAAGTGGCACTGTGGCTCAAATGGTAGAGTGCTAGCCTTGAGCTGAAGAGCTGAGGGACAGTGCCCAGGCCCAGAGTTCAGGCCCCACGACCGGACTCAAAAAAAAACAAACGAACAAAAATGGAAAAGTTAGTTGGGTGCTGGAGGCTCATGCCTGTAATCAGGAGGCTGAGATCTGAGGATCATGATTCAAAGCCAGCCCAGGCATAGAAGACTCCTATATCCAATTAACCACCAGAAAACTGGAGTGGCTCAAAGTGGTAGAGTGCTAGCCTTGAGCAAAAGGAGCTCAGCAACAGAGCCCCAGGCTCTGAGTTCAAGTCCCTTGTGGGGGGGGGGGGAATTGAACAACTCTGACTCAATATTTAGTGCCAAGTTTCCCTCACTGGCCGTACTGAGTTCTGTGTTATCAGTGTCTCCAATTCTGGTCAGCAATATGGCTCTTCTGTCTTTCCCTTGCTATTTTTCAGTCTTTATTTTTCACTTTAACAGCACCCCTTCCCCTTTAATCTACCCTGTATATGTTGAACCAAGCAAAACATTTCTTGGAATGAGGCATCCCATTCCATTAGACAGAGACAAGTAAATAACCCGTAATAGTATTTTTGTTAGGGTACTTACTCTCTTGTGTGGATAGGTTTGTAACTAAAGTTTCTAAAAATAAAGCTATTAACAATGGTATTTCTACAACATAACAACCTCACGTTTAAAATAGTATTTGGTACTTGTCAGAGAGATACTAATTATGATTTTTATGATTGGTGCTATCTTGGGCTACAGGCAGTTTACATATATTTATTTTAAATAATGTTTTTAAAGTTCCTTAAACTTTGCAGTAGCCTTTGGAAATCTGGGTCAGTTAATGAAGAAAAAGAGCATTTCCTACTTTGGGCCATGTTGCTTTCTCCCATGGTGTTTTTGCCCTAGCTCTGCCTTATTCCCAGTGGCTTTTCCCTTCATTCCTTTTTGCTCTGCTGGGCATCTTTAGAGGAAAACTTCACACTGACTTCCTCCACTATAAATTCGCTCCTTCCTCTCATCTCTACACATCTTTCTGCCAATATACACCACTACTTCTTCACTATTTTTTTTTTTAAGTCCACAGCCCTTTCTGGCTGTTTGCCATCTTTAACACTCTCTTGTTTAAAATTTTCTCTTTCTTTGATGAGACCTCAGGTTTTGAAAAGGGTAGGCTTTGACTGTTTATTCTGTACGGTCCAGTTCTGCCTTCCTTCCTGTTCTATCACTATTTTCTTATTCTAGGATGTTTCTGAGCTCCACGGTGCTTAATTTCTACAAAGCTGTAGACTTTCCTTTTTCTAGATACAGTTAAAGATGCTTTAAAAATTACTATTATTTTTACTGTTAAAGGTAGTTTCAACTTCACATCTCTTTCAGTTTCCCAGCATTCTGTGTCCAGAAACATGACATGACCATTGTCATAAAGTTTGTTGAATGACGATGTAAGCTTGATGTTTTTTACTAGGCACTGTATAGTGAATTTCATAATTTTGGTGTCAGATTCTTTAATGCTTACAGAAAAAAATGCTATCACATATGTGTGTGTAACTTTTTTGTTGTTTAAATATAAAAGGTTTACTTGATTTAGGCATATATATTACTTGCAGTTCTTTATTATTCACATTGTATTTAAGCTGAACCTGCAAACTCAGAGATATTCTTTTTTCTGACACCTTTATTATCTGTTTTGTTGTTGTTGTTGGTCATGGAGTTTGAACTCTGGGCCTGGGAACTGTCCCTGAGTTCTTCAGCTCAAGGTGAGTGCTCTACCACTTGAGCCACAGTGCCACTTCTGGTTTTCTAGTGGTTAATTGGAGATGAGTCTCAGGGATTTTCTTGCCCAGGCTGACTTTGAACTGTGATCCTCAGATCTCAGCCTCCTGAGTAGCTAGCATTACAGACAGGAGCCACCAGCACCCATCTTTACCTCTTTTTTGTGAGTACAAGTTCTGGGTTTTGAACTCAGGGCCTGGGCACTGTCATTAGTTTTTGTGCTCAAGGCTAGTGCTATACCACTTGAGCCAAAACACCACTTCTGGCTTTTCTGGTAGTTAATTGAAAATAAGAGTCTCACAGGCTTTCCTGACTAGGTTAGCTTCAAATTATGATCCTCAGATCTCAGCTTCCTAGATACTAGGATTACAGGCATGAACTACTGGTGCTTGGCTTATTATCTCCATTTTACATGCTGTCTAAAATGAATGGAAATAGAATGAAAAGAAATGAAAGATACATGAAATTAAGTGGCAAAGTATTAGATACACAAACATGAAAGCCATCTACTTTG